GTTTCCGCGACCTTGCACGGCACCGTCTCCCGGGGTTGGAGGCCTTACCCACGCCGTGGAGGGAGATGTGGCAGCACCGCGATACATGGATGACATGTCTCTGTCTGATGGGGCCTTCTTGGGGGCTCGACCGCGACGTTGCCTGTGCTGCCTTCCTCGATGCCTTCCTGAAGACTCATGGTCGCCATCGGCGCCAGACTCAGGTCCCCTCGTCCCAGGTCTTCGTTGCTCGATTGCGTCTTCTAGCTCGTCGGTATACTGGTGTCGCACGCCAGTTCAGGGCACGGCGTATGGTGCGGGCTGCCACGTGAAGTGATGTCGTCTGAGTGTGACCGCTCCCTTCCATCTCTCGCGCGTTTGTTCTAGTGCTTCTCTGTGTGCTCCCTCTGCCTTTCCTGTCGCTTGCTGTCTTCCTTCTCCTTCCTGCCTCTGCTGGTGCTTCCTCCCTGCGGGGTGGGCTTTGTTGGGTCCTCGGTTTTCTCCCGCCCCTGCCTTCCCCTCTTTCCCCTGCCTTTCTTCCTGCCCGCTCCCTCGGTCCTCTTCGCTGCTGCTGCTCCGCTGTGCTGTTGCTGCTGCTGCCGGGGTTGGGTCCTCGCCTGGCTGGGGGAGCGCGCGCAGGGGCGTGCGTGCAAGCGCCCCGCCGCTCCCTGCCGCCCCCGCCGCCCGCCCCGTCGACGACCTGTCAACTGTGCCCGTTGCGCCTCTCTGGGAGGAAGGGTGCTCGCCTCTCAATTTTGTCTAGGCGTGTATTCGGGCCTGGGTTGTGGGTCGAGGTGACGGTGGCCTGGGTCGCAAGCGCCCGTGGCTTGTGGGGCATGGACTCTGTCTTCCCCCGTCGCCGAGTGCGCCCCCCCGCTGCCGGGACTCTCGTACGGGAGGATCGGTAGCGGGCGGGGCTGTCCCGCCCCTCCCCGCGCGCGAGGTGCCGCGGTACCTCCCGCGAGTCGCCGAAGAGCGGCATCTCGCTGTGCGCTGGCCTCACGTACCTTGTCCTCCCTCTCCTCTTTCGCTGCTCCTCTGCTGCTGCTGCTCCCCCCTCCTGCGCGGTCCTCGACTATGGCAGGCCTAGCCTGCCGCGGCGTGGCCCTCACTGACAGTTCACGGACTATGGATAGGAAATTTTGGGTGAGCGTCCTGCGGTGGAAAAAAAAACTCCTCCTCCTCCTCCCATCTCCCCCCTCTCTCCTCCCTCCTCCTCCCCTCCTCCTCCTCTTCCTCCTCCTCCTCCTCCTCCTCCCATCTCCTCCTCCTCCTCCTCCTCCTCCTCCTTCCATCTCCTCCTCCTCCTCCTCCGCCTCCTCCTCCTCCTCCGCCTCCTCCTCCTCCTCCTCCTCCTCCTCCTCCGCCTCCTCCTCCTTGTCCTCCTCGGGTCTCCTACGGCCCCGAGGGAAACCGTGCACTCTAGGCGACGCGTAGAGGGGGGTAAGGGGAGGGGGGAGAAACACCCCCGCTTCTTAGAAACGCTGGTCTTGTCTGTGGATGCAGGGCCAGTGCTTGCTAAGAAGCAGCCTCCTTCTAAGAAGCCTTCCCCCCTCCCCCTGTCCCCTTGTGCGCGCCGCCAACCCTCTCTGGCTGTCCTGGGGCCTGTCGCGAGGGGCCGCCTGGGCGCAGCCCCAAACTCGGCGTCGCCCCAACTTACTTACCACTATCTTTGTGCGTCGCTCCCCAGGGGCGATACGCGCGCCGAGAAATCTTGTAGTATATTCGTCGTGGCGGGCGCTTTCTGGTCACACCGCTCGGGAAACGACATGCTACAATATGGGTACGCTATATGTTTGGGTCGGACGCGCGCCTCCAATGAGAGCATATAGTGCTAGTATGTCTTTGTGCAGCCCACAGGCCTTTGTCACTGCAGTCATAGGGGAACGAACACTGACATAAACATAACAACTCGGAGGTCTGCGCGGATTTCTCGGATCCGCGCTGGGCTCCCCTGGCGGCGCCTCCGGCGCCTCACCTGGCGCGCTCCGCGCGCCAGGGAGGGGGTCCAGCGCGGATCCGAGAAATCCGCGCGGACCTTTTGTGTGTTCGTGCTTAGATCATTCCGCTGTTCCTGCACATCCACTTCGGCACCGCCTGCACCCCGGGCTTCGCCCACTCCGGCCGCCTGAGGCCCCGCCTTCCTGTGCCCTGTCTCCTTAATTAAAGCTGTGCCTAGACCGCCTAGCTTTTAGCGGAAGAGGTTCGTTCTCGCCCCGCATATCAAACGTGTTTAGATAATTCTTCGTTGCCCTCAATCAAGTCACGCAGCAAGGATAAGCAACTTTGCAAGGCCGCCTTTGGCATCCTGGCCCCTCCGGCCAGGTCTTGGCGACTGCCTCGGGCCCACCCCGCCCGGAGAAGCGCCAGCGTTGCCTTCCAAGGGCCTGACGCCCGTGCCAGCCAGGACGCGGAAGTGGGGTGAAGTCGGGCCTGTCCCCCTACAGGAGGAGTCGAGCAGTGGCGAAGCGTCCTGGCTCGCCTATAGCCCCACCGAACAGTGTTCTAAGAACCTCTTGTGGTTCCCAGGAAATGTTCTTAGAACATTTCTGGCGGAGTCTGTCTTGTCTTAACACATCGGGCTTATGTTCTAAGAACATTGTTTTTGTTCGAATTTTGGGTTATAAGAACATTTCGTGGTAGGATTATAGGAATGCCAGGAGGGTCGGTCCCTGCTCAAAGGAACTTCCAAAAATAGTCAAAAATCGTCCGGGGACGTTTTTAGGATTATTTTTTGAATAGTTTTGATTCTGTTTTGGGTCTTTTTGTTTCTTGTCTAGAATCCCCCTGCGGGCTCCAGTTTTTTGGGCCCTTCCTCAGGTCTTGGTCGGGAGCCTCTTCGTGGTCGACGCTCGCCGTGGCCAGGAAAGGCCCCTTCGTTCCTTCCTTTCCGTCCTCCTTCTCCTCCTCCTCTGTTTTCTTGCAAGGATAATATGTAAGGGCTTCGCCCCATGCCGCCGGCCCCCTGTCTCGGATAATGGGAGATGCAACAGCTAATTAACTCATGAGGTCTGGGCGCCGCCGTGAAGCAGTGTCGGGACCTGTCTGTTTTTCGACCATGACCCTACGGATCTGCGTCACGGGTGCCACCGGAAAACAGAAATGTAGGAAATCCCATATGTTTTTGGACCCTGACCCTACGGATCTGCGTGAGGGGTTCCGCCGATTTTCAGAAATGTAGCAAATACATGTTGTTTTTGGACCCTGACCCTGCCGATCTGCGTGAGGGGTGCCGCCGAATTTCAGAAATGTGGCACATCCCCTGTGTTGTTGCACCCTGACCCTGCCGATCTGCGTGAGGGGTGCCACGCATTTTCAGAAATGTGGCAAATCATTTGTGTTTTTGCACCCTGACCCCGCCGATCTGCGTGAGGGGTGCCACCGATTTTCAGAAATGTGGCAAATCATTTGTGTTGTTGCACCCTGACCCCGCCGATCTGCGTGAGGGGTGCCACCGATTTTCAGAAATGTTGCTCATCCCTTGTGTTTTTGCACCCTGAACCCGCCGATCTGCGTGAGGGGTGCCACCGGATTTCAGAAACGTGGCAAATCATTTGTGTTTTTGCACCCTGACCCCGCCGATCTGCGTGAGGGGTGCCACCGAATTTAAGAAATGTGGCAAATCATTTGTGTTGTTGCACCCTGACCCCGCCGATCTGCGTGAGGGGTGCCACGAATTTTCAGAAATGTGGCAAATCATTTGTGTTTTTGCACCCTGACTCCGCCGATCTGCGTGAGGGGTGTGAATTTTTACCCACCCTAGCAGTTCAGAGCACACGCTCCGGGCGTGGTACAAATGCTCGTTTTGGGCCTCACCTTCGCGCGGTCCATCAACAAGGAACAGTAGCAGCAAGAAGCAGAACTGTAACAAGGAACAGTAAGCAGCAAAAAGCAGAACTGTAACAGTGGAAACTGGAAGCTGCAACTGGTACAGGAAACTGCGAAGCTTCGGCCTACAGCCTGGTGGCCCCACAAGGGGGCCGGCGGATTCCTCCCTGTCGCACCCCGAGGCTGGTCGAAAAGGCGGGCGGGCGTTTCGTCTGAGACTTCCTCACGGCTTATGGCCCTGGAACTAAAGTGTTGACAGCAGTTTCAGATGGAAGGCGGGTCGCTTCCAAACTGTGGCTCTTGCTTCAGCGCCGTGCATTTTCGGCTTAAGAAAGGCAAGAGTTTCAAGGATTTAGGGCGGGTGGTTTTCAACATGTGGCTCTCGCCGTAACGCCGCACACATCCGTCTTATACATTTGCAATCGTTTAACGGATTGAGGGCGGTTCTTTGTCAAAATGCGGCTCTCGCCGTGGCGCCGCGCACATTTGTCGTGAACATTTGCAAGACTTTCACGGATTGAGGGCGGTTCCTTTTTTGAAAATGTGGTTCTCGCCTCAGCGCCGCGCACATATGTTTAGAACAAGCGCAAGAGTTTCACGTATTCGCATGGTTAGCGTACCCGATATGGCGCTTTCGAGCGATTCATGATTAGCAAGGCGCAGCAGTCACGTTGTTTCGCGGTGTTGAGGTCCCAATAATGGTTCTCAAGCACGATTCAGGATCGTCACCCCGCAGTGGTCAGGTTGATTCGTGGTTTTGGAGCCCCGAGAAAGAGTTGTGTTTCGGCACGCTTCAGGATCTTCAAACGATTGTCTCCCAACGATGCACTGCCCCCAGTGACAATGAATCTTTGTAGGGGGCCTCATGAAAAGGAAGCTTTGAGGGAGGGTGTATTCCAACATCGTTGATGAATCTTGGGTTTGCACCAGTCCTCCTCCTCCTGCTCTTCGCTGGCCTCCTCCTCCACCTCTCCCCCTCCTCCTTCTCCTGCTCGTTCTCGCTGCCCTCCTCCTCCTCCTCCTGGATCCTCGTCCTCCTCCTCCCCCCCCTCTTCCTCCTTCTCCTCCTCCTTCTCGCTGTCCTCCTCCTCCTCGCTGTCCTCCTCTCCTCGTGCTCGGCGCTCCCTCTGGTGGCATGACGGCGGCACGAGCAGCTCTCCGCTCGCGCACGCGCCGCCCGCCGCCGCCCCGAGGACGGGGCCGGCGGTGCGCCCGGGGACGGCGGCGCCATGTGGCTGCTGCTGGGAGCGCCCCGCCCACCGCCGCGCCCCCCGCAACGCGCTCCCGTCGTCGTCGTCGTCGTCGTCGTCGTCGTCGTCGTCGTCGTCGTCGTCTCGTTGTTGTCGTCGTCTCGTTGTTGTCGTCGTCGTCGTCCTCGCTCGTCGTCGTCGTCCTCGTCGTCGTCGTCGTCGTCGGGCGGTGAGACAGACGCACATGCTCGTCCTGTTCCTCCCGTTGGGCAAACAGAAGCACCGAAGCTGTGACGTTCCGCTGACGAAGACAAAAGCGACTTAGGCAGAGTGCTGAGCAAGTTAGTGCTGCAGGAAGTGCGGAGCATGAGAGGCAGAGGGGATCGTACAGGTGATGTGCCCGTGGGGGCGCAAAGTACCTAAGCGAGCATCCACTTAGGGAGAAGAGAAATCCAGTACCAACATCGATTACCATATCATAGCATACGAGGGGAGGATACCGTAGAAGAGAGATCGAAACACACGTGCAAGTGGTTCACGTTGTAAAACGTTTGCCTGCTTGATGTTCGGTGATGTATCCCAGTGGCATTTCGAACCACGTGAGTAAGCAAGGCAGCTGTACAAGAGCTGAGGCAGGCGCCAGTGCAGTGTGGTATCCCTCATTCCCTCTAACAGACCTCATAACCCCTTCCCCCAATGTTAGTGATGCTGGCGCGGTGCGATGGCTGTCCAATTGGTTGAACATTGGGCGGTCTTGAAAGTGTAGGTGGGGCAAGCTTATAGGTGATGGTCTGGGCAGACTTGAGGTAAAGCAGGTCAGGCCAAATTCGACAATGTAGTCTCAGGCCAGCCACTACTGGCTGGCCTGTCTGGTGTCTGATGATTGCTGACAGGGCATAAGGTGGGAGGCATTGAAGTGGAACGTCTGATGCTCACAGTGGTAAAGAGGTCTGACAATGCACGGCAAGATGTGCAGTGAGGGAGGTGTCCGCAACGCACGGCGGCCCACAGTAGGGCTGACGCCCCTCCGCCGAACGCCAAAATGGCCATACATCGTCAGTGGTTCTCCCCCCACCCACAACCATCATCGGCGGCGAGCGAGGGGGGCAAGTTAGAAGGAGAATGACCTCTCAGAAGGCGGTGGGGCTTCTCAGAAGCATTCCGGCCTTCTGAGGATCTTCGGTGTCGCCGGGGAAGGTTTAAAACACTTCTCAGAAGTCCCGGGGACTTCCGAACCTTCTGAGAAGGCCCGCCCCTTGTCACGTTCCCCCGGGCTCGCCGCCGAACAACCATCAATCCACCTCCCCCGCTCCAGTGTCTGTGAGGCTGGGGCGGTATGATTCGCTTGCGCAGCAAATGGGGCGGGCCTGATACTCTCTGTAATAAGAGCCCTTAGGCCTCCTAGATGATCCCCGAAGCATCGACGATGGGGCTCGATGCGGAGCCCGCTTTGCTTCACGCCGACGTCGCCAATGCATCGCCCATGTCGACGATGCATCGCCAGTGTATCGCCGATGCATCGCCGATACATCGCCGATGCATCGCCGACGTATCGGCGTTGCGACGCGATCCCCCAACCCCGTCTACTCGGACCCCATCAAGGAGGCCTCTAAATAAGAGCTGCAGCTGGTGCCGCTGACCAAGCTGGCTCAGTCTGTGCTGGCCGACCTGTAGGGGATGATGTAGGCTGAGACGGGTCTCGATTTGCTGGCCTGACTGGCATCTGATTCAGAATGTCATGGGGTACAGGGTAGAGCATTATTTCATTGAACGCCCCTGAGGGGGCAGACCACCGCCACCACATCTTTTGTTTATCGTGGTCCCGTGGGAATGGGGTGGGGCCAAGACGGCTCCATAGAGTCCAACGTGTTCTAACAAACGGCCCATCAAGGCCGCACGAGGCTTCGAAAATGGGGCCGAATGGAGCCCATGGGTGTCGAATTCTACGGGCGGGACCGACGACGCATACGGTCATTCTGCTGGCCCATCATGTGGCATCGCTGGCTTTTGCCCACGCATTCGTGGCCAATGTTACGCTGCCAGGCGGTGGTCGTTTTCCAGCTGCGTTGCGTCAGCAGTCTTGGAGATGGAGCAGTTCTCTGTGTCTAGTAGGGGGTTTGTTTGGGGGCAGTCATGGGTATGCGGCACCATCGTGAGTTGGGCTTGTCACCCACGGACTTGGGCTTGTCACCCATGGAGTTCCGCTGTTGGGTCACTCGAGTGCTTTTTTGGGATATGTTTGCGGGTATGTTGGAATTTCCGGTTGGGCGAGTTGGTGTTTGTGCGAGGATGTTCGTCTTCATTCGGCCCGCCCTACGACTAATTTTGCGGGATCCTGGGTCCGCCCGCATTCGAGTTGAACATGCTTGGGGAGGGTAGCAGGAGGCGTCTTGGGGTCCTCGGGGGAGGCCTCTCGGGGGCCTCTTGGCGGCGGCATTTCTGGGACCTCGTGTGGCTTCACGGGGGCCTCTGGGAACTTCTCGGGGGCCTCTTGGGGGCCTCTTCGGGCCTCTCGGGGGCCTCCTTGGGGGCATCCCTGGGGCCTCTTTAGCTCTTGGGGCTCTCTCTGGGGCCTCTTTGGGGCCTCTTGGTGCCTGGGGCGGGCCGAGGGCTGGAAATGTCCGTTCGGGTCTCCCGCCTGAGCCACCTGTTGGAGCCGTCGTGAAGGCCTCCTGGGCCGTTTTGGAGGCCGCTTGGGGCCGTCCTGGGTCTGGGCCGTTCTGGGGCCCTGTTTAAAGCATCGTTGGCAGTCTTGGGTCGATCTTGTGCCGTCTTCGATCGCCGGGACGCCGAAAAGGCGAGAACGCAACCCTTCAACACCTCAAGGAAAGTCATAATTGTTGCCTCCATGGGCCCTCCTGGGATCCCTCCTGGAGGCTTCTTGGGGCATCTTGGAGGCGTCTTCGGCCGTCTGGAGGCCGTTTGGGGCGTCTTGGACGGCTCGGTCGGCGACTCGGAGCCCTCCCGGACAGTCTTTGTGGACCTCTTGGGGTCCTCTTGGAGCGCCGTGGGGCGCCTGGAAGGCCGCGCCCTGGAGGAGAGCCCATCCCTGAACCGACTCGGCCAGCGCCGGGCGCCCCGCCCGCCGCGGCAGCAAGAGTCAGCCTCGAGCAGATCCGTGATCCGAAGGGCGCAACTCAAGGCAGAGCGCGGGACTACAGGGTCTGGCTTGAACGAGGAGCACTTTTCAAAAGGGGCTCGGTCGTTCCTTTGGTTTGCATGCGGGTGGTCCTTCGGACTTCCAAGACTAACCCCCCCGTGGAGTAGATCTTGGCTGTTTTCTGGCGCCTGCTTCAAGCAGGCGGGGCCCCTCCACATGGGACGCCCGGGCCCAAACAGTCGCACTAGGCAGAACTCTGGAGCCAGACCCCCTCCCTTCAGGAGCGAAAGAAGGACGTACATGTACATGAATCCACGCTGGTTTCGAGAGTTTGCACTGCGCGAATGTTCGTATCGCGCGGCAGGTCTCGCGGGTCAAGGGGCCGTGTTCATGTACATAGCTGGGCGCGTACGTCCTTTGTGTGCTCCCTATCCCTTCCCCCCCCCTTCCGCCCAATGTCGAAACGCCGAACAGAAAAAAAAGTCTCACAAGCTTCTGCAACACCATGGGGTTCGCGGCCAGTTATAGGCCCAGCGGAAGGTCTTATAGATCTCGCATGGGCCCTCTACGCCCTCGCCTTTTTCCCGGGCACGTCGTCGAGCTCGGGTGCTGTCATCAAGTCGGGCACGTCCCTCCACAGCAGGAGGAATATTCCAAGACGGTCAAGCAATGGTCTGGGGACGATCTTCCCATATTTCTTTGGCAATGTCAGAATATAGGTTGACTTTTGTTGTCCAAAATCCGCCCGTAGGGGGACATGCCCGACCTGGTGTATCACGTAAGGGGAAACTTTGCTCGTGCTCTGAAGGCAGGTGCGGAGAGACACCAGTCCTGACGCCAAAGCCATAGAGTTGCGAGACCACTCGCAAGCCAGCTAATGGGGAGGAGGCCCAGTGGGTAGAGTTTGGCAAGCCACTGCTCAACTCGGCTGGGGCTGATCAGCGTAAGGCACGGTGTAGGACGATTGGGATACCCCCAGTCATAGCTCAACCTGCCAGCAGGTCTGTTCACGCATGTGCTCCGCGCGTCACAGAGAAGGTCTTTCCTGCGACGAATCCAACCACCAGACACGACCTGGCGGCCGTCGCTGCGGTCAAGCATGGCCTTGACGATTTCGCCAACATGTGGCTACTCCGTACTGAAGGCGAGGCAACATGCGCTGCTTGCGAATCACCAACTGCCTCTGCGGGTGTGAGCACACCCAGCAGAGAAAAGTCACGGCCGGCATCTCGGCCGACCCATCCCCGCTGCGCAGATGGTGCATTCACGAAGAAGAGCACGCGCCTGGAAATGCCCGAGGTGGGAACCCGAGATGGCTGCTTTGAAGACCATGCTCGCCGAGCAACAGTGGCGAGACCTGCCGCCGCGCGCCAGACACTGCGGCCTTGAAAGCTCCTTAATCTTCAGGGCGCCTTCGCCGATGACGAGCTTCCGCAGCCCGCCCCGCGGCCGACGCCAGAGGGCCCTGGCGGCGGCCCTTTCAAGGTATACACCCGCGAGCACGGAGGCCGACGGGTCTACGTTGCCACCGAGGGAGCGTGCTCCCGCCAAACCCACCCGCTCCTCGCCAGGGTTGGTATCGGTGTGCACTACGGCTCTGGTCATGGGTTCAACCGCTCGGTGCGGGTGCACGGCCCGGCGCAGTCCGCGCAGAGAGAGAGAGAGAGAGAGAGAGAGCCGCGACGCAGGCCGTGCTTCACATCGCCGCTGCGGCCGAGCGGCTCGCTCACATCTTCGTTGGCAGCGAACTATTTGACGCTTCGCGAATCCCCACCAGCCCATCGAAAGCCGACGCCCAGTCGAGTTGAGACGATCATGGAAGCGTATGGGCAACATGGGGGACAGCCGTTATCGCTCGAAGGAGGTTGAAGAGGAGGAGGAGGAAGAGGAGGACGAGGATGATGGATGATGGAGGAGGGAGAAGGACGATCAATTTGCGGGTGAGGAGAAGCGAGAGCAGGAGGAGGAGGAGGAGAAGGAGGAGGAGTAGGAGGGAGAGGAGGATGTGGAATACTATTGATAATGCGACGAACAATAATTAATCATACTAGTAATGCGAATATGAACAATACTATTCAGAATACTGTCAATATTCATACTAGTACACATAATGAAGGTAATAATGCAGTAAGAGTAATACTTACATTACTAGCACTACTATGGTAATACTACGACTAATAATAGTAATACTCGTCGGAAGAATAATAATAATAATAATAATAAGAAGAAGAAGAGGAGCAGGAGGAGGAGGAACAGGGCGACCAGAAGAGCCAGAAGCCTCTTGAATGCCTCTCGGAGTCTCCTCGGATGTCGCTTGGAAGCCTTTTTGAGGCCTCTTGAGGCGTCTGGGGGTGCATCTTGGCGAGCCCAGGGCCGTCTTTAAGCGTCTTGTGTGCCTCGGTGATCCTCTTGAGGCCTTGGGAGCCTCTTGGAGGCTCCTTGGGCGCCTCTTGAGGCCGCCTGGGCGCCTCTTGAGGCCCTCTTTGGGCGCTCTTGGGAGCTTTGGGGCGCTCTTGGAGCCACCTGGGAAGACATTGCTTAGATTAAGAAGATGGGAGCTTCAATTAGGGTCCCCACATCGGGAACCCCAAGCATCGCCTCTTGGGGCGCTCTTGGAACGCTCTTGGGCGTTGTTGGGGCCGTATTGGAGGCCTCTTGGGCTCTTGATGGAGCCCTCTTGGACCATCTTGGAGCCTCCCTGAGGCCTCAGAAGGCCATCGGAAGCGAAACGGCGATATAGCAACACATTGTGTTTCTTCAGAGTTTGGAAGGATGTTTGCCTCTTGGCGGCCTCCTGGGGAGGCTCCGTGGCCACCTGGAGCCGTATTTGAGAGCTTTTGGGGCCTCTTGCAGCATATTGTGAGCCATCTTGGGGCATCTTGGGTTGTCTTGAGCCATCTTGGAGGTCATCTTGGGCTTTCTGTGGCGCTCTTGGAGCCGTCTCGGGCCATCTTGGATGCTCCAACGCTCGCGAACTCCCCCGTCCAAGTCCAGGGGAGGGGGTAATGGATAGGGGTGAACCCCTTCCCGCAGGGGAAGAAGGGGATTGGAAAAGGAGCCTCAAGACCACGCCCAGGGGGCTGGTGGGATTATCGTCGACGGGTTTAGAGAACCTCCTCAGCGGTAAAACCACCACCCCGCGTTGGTGCTCGGGCCGGCAACTGTTTGAAAATCCATCAGGTCCTAGAGGCGAAACTAGACATGTTCAATGCCCAGAAGGTCGAAAGCCATTTGGGCGAACAAGTCAACAACACGTCATCGATAAAAGCCTCAGCGCATAGTATGCGCAGAGGCTTTATCGCCGCGCCGATGAACTCGCCACTGCTGGCGCACTCCTCCGCAGCCTGCGGGAAGGCCTCACCGACGCCGCCAAGTGGCGACATGCATTCGCGGCCATCCTTCACAGCGCGGCCGTCGCCATTTGCGACCGACGCCACCAGACGTTTCCCACCGGGCTCACCAGGCGGCCCCGACCATCCCGACGGCCCACCAGGATCCGACTACCTCCACTTCGATGACTCTTGGTCGAGCCTGCTCGACGACCTCGACGGCGAGGAAGTCGACGACCCGCTCGGGCGCGGCGCCTCCACTGACGACGACGCAGGCCCCGTGCCCCCCCCCCTTCCAGCGCAGTCACCGCAGAGACGACCACGGCGGCCACGACGACACGGCCTCCGAGTCCAGGCCGCAGTCACCGGCCCCCGCCACCGCCAGGCCAGCTCCTCCTGCCACCAGGGTCCTCAGAGGAGGAAACGGTACCCATACCTTTGCCCTTTCCTCGTTTCCCCCTTCTTGGGCCCCGCTGGATTCACTCCGAAATCCTCGTCAGAACGCACCCTGGGCGAGGTCTGGGGAGTAGCGCTGTCGGTACCTTATGGTTTCCCCAGGTACGGGGGGGCAGTGGACGGCCACGTGCCGCCGGCGGACCGTCAGCAGGCAATCCCTCACGCAGCACTTGTCAGTGGCCTGCCGGCAGCCTGGCGGTCACCGCGGATCGGTCCTCACTGCTGGCACCAGCGCGCTGCATCAGCGAGCCAAGCGCCTTGCCCAACCTCTCCCGCACATCCAGGAACAATGAGCTCCTTTGCTAGACAGGTTCCATCGAGCATAAGCTGGCTGGGATAGCTTCTGGCAGGCTCTCGGACCTGCCGCTTCCATTGGGGCGTCCCTCCAGGACAGCTTCCAGGCTCTCCTTGCTGTTCCACGCGAGGCACGCCAGCACCAGCGCCCCCTCCTCTCGTGGTGGGCTCTGCGAACCGTTGCCTCCTGTTCCGCTGCCTTCTTCTGGGCTGCCTCTGGGGGTGCCCGAAGGCGGCGCCGCCAGCGTCAGGGCGCCGCAGCACGCATACCAAAGCGTGTGTACAGCCAGCGTTCGTCTGTTTTCAGGAGGGGAAGAAACACACAGACACAATTAATCGTCGACTCCCCAGGAAAATATGCGAAAATATGGGAAGTGGGGGGGAAGACAAAAACCCAGAAAATATAGGAAAATATAGGGAATCTTTTTATTTGTGTGTATTTATTTGTGTGTTCTGGGGCCCCTTCAAAAGCGTGTGTACAGCCAGCGTTCTTCTGTTTACCGGTGCGCCGAGGGGCGAGCCTCGTCAGGATCGCCCCGCCCCGCCTCTGCTTTGCAGTCGGGCCCCCCACAGACCGAGGCCAGGGGGAGGACAGCCTCCCCACCCTTTCGATCGCATGCGCGGCACCTCCCGCCACCTGGGGTTGGCGCGGAGGGCATCCGCGGCCCCCGCGCCAGACGGCTTTCGGCCCGCCGAGTTGCTGTCACCCCCCCCGCTCCCTCTTTCCCCTCGCCCCCCGCCGGTCCCGGACCTGGGAGGGGGAGGAGGACGGCCCCCGGTGGCAGCCGCCGTCGCTGTCGTATCGCCCGCGGCTCGCGCCGCGAGGGAAGAGCGGCCGCATCCGCGGCATCGGCCCTGCGCCCGTGGGTGGGGCGAACTGGGACGAGGAGCGCCCCAGCCGCGGCCGCCGCCGCCGCCGCCGCCTCCGTGGTCGTGGTCGTGGTCGTGGGCGTGGGCGTGGGCGTGGGCGTGGGCGTGGGCGTGGGCGTGGGCGTGGGCGTGGTCGTGGTCGTCGTCGTCGTCGTGGTGGTCGTCGTCTTCGTCGTCGTCTTCGTCGTCATCTTCGTCGTCATCATCATCGTCGCCATTTGCGTCGTCATCGTTGGCGTCGTCATTTGTGTCGGCGTCGTCGTCGTCGTCGTCGTCGTCGTCGTCGTCGTCGTCGTCAACACCCGACATCGTCGTCGTGGTTCCTGCCCGATGAGGCGACAGGCGGCCCCAGGCCTGCCGAGCGAGGGGGGAGGGGGCAAACAGGGAGGAGGAGGCCAGCCCCGCCCTCCTCCAACTTGCAGGCGACCGCAGGCATGGATCAACGGGGGCGTGGATCAGCGACGGGTACCGCTTCCCTGGGCCATCGCGGATTTTTTGTGTCCGCCGGACGAGGCGGCCCTGACTGCGTTTTGGGGGGAGGGCACCTCCCCCGGGTCCATGGATCTGGCGACCGCGCGCCAAGTCCATGGATCGCCAATCCATGTTTGCGCGCCCCCGGGCCTCATCCTCCCCGTTCTCGTCCCTCTCGTTCCCTCCCTCCCCCGTCCTGCGAGTGCCCTCTTCGGTCCCCGACTCCGGTTCGAGTATGAGTAGGAGCTTGACTTGCACCACTCGAGAGAACGGCACGGAGCCCGAGCCGACGTTTTCGATGACGGCCTGCGAGCGGCTGGGGAGCTGTGCTTAGATGACCCCGCAACGGGCAGGTGGCCAGGGCATTTCGCCCGCGAGGAGGCATGCAGCGCAGCCCTGCTCTCACGCGTGGGCGCATAGGGCATCCAGCGCATATAATCAGGCGATCGCAAGCATGGATCAATGGGGGCGTGGATTTGCGACGGGGGTCCCGTTTCCCTGGGAAATCGCGGATTTTGTATCCGCCGAGCGAGGCGGCACCGGCCGCATTTTGGGGAGGGCACCTCCCCCGATCCATGGATTTGGCGATCGCGCGCCAAATCCATGGATCGCTAATCCATGTTTGCGCGCCCCCGAAATACGGCGGCTGGACAGGTGGAGTCCCGTGCGTGCGCGAGCTCGGTGCACAGATTCTATCTTTCACTCCCTCGCCGCCCCCCGCCTCGGCGGCGCCTCAGCGGTTTCTCCCCCCCATTCTTGTGCAATCGTGGCCCGTTTCGTCGCTGACGTGACATTTTGCTTCGTGTTCTCGCCACCCACCAAGACACCCCAACCCAACCCGAAGGCCTCAATTTGCCCTCCATTTCCAGTTGGGGGGGGTCTGGGAACGTCGAAAAAACACAAGTGGAACCCTTACCCCCCCAACCCGAAATTCGGGTCTTCGGGTTGGGTTGGGGTGGTCTGGTAGGTAGTCATGTTCGTACTCCGTTTCCCTCCCCCCGGGTGCCGTGGTGCCCTCTTCTGGGACCCGGCCCCCGCTCGCGGGCCGCGTCACGAGTCTCGAGTCCCGAGTGCCCGGAGGCGTGGCGCGGCGCCACGGAGTGGCGCTCCGCAAGCGGAGGTCCAGGAGGGTGTCCGTTGGCTTCGGCCGGAGGCGTGCGTGGCGCGAGCATCGTTCGACATTCGGGGGTGGACAGAACCCCCAACAGTGACACGTCGAGTAGTGACTTGTCCGTTTTCGGTTCTCGAGAGGGCGCCGTGGCCGTTATTTTCCAGGCTTGCGCCCGCCAGGTTTGGGCCTCAGGTCGTTTTCGCTAAACCACGTTTTACTAAAGGGAGGTCTGTCCAGCCCCGAGACATCCGCACCTTCGCGTGCGAAGCTCTGTCGTCAGTGGTGGCCGCAGAGGGAACGGGCCGTCCTACCTCCGACGACTTCCAGGACGCTCCTCCTCGGACCTCCTCCTTCTCCGCCTCCTCCTTGTCCTCCTCCACCTCCCCCAAACATCTCCTCCTATGTACCTCCTCTTCCTCCGCCTGTTCACTTTCCTCCTGATCCTCGAGCCTCCTCACGTGGGCCTGCTCAGACAGGATTTTACGCGTGCCTTTTCAGACAGGATTTCACCGTTCACCGTTTGAACATCCTCATCCTGTTGTCGTCGTCGCCGCCATCGCCCCTCAGTGGCCCTCCGCACGCCAAGCGACGGCGACGAAGACGACGACGACGACGATCACGACCGGCACGTCCACGACGACCTCGACGACGCGAGTTGAGCGTCTACATGAGGTCGAACGGGCGGACTCTGGCACGCAAGCCACCCGCGTAAGGTCGCGGTGGGCCGCGCTTGCGGGCTGCGTAAACCGCTGTGTATTTCAGATCGTTGTGACGTTGCGCGTCAGACGTAAGACCCTGACCAAGAACACGATCACAAGAACGCCGCCGACGACCACGACGATCACGACAACACTGGCCACCATCCTTTTCAGACCATTCGCTTTCCGTTATTCGCGTGTCTGCCCACAAATTTACCCAAACCATCGATACCCTCT